TTTATATACCATATTTCATTTACAAATATATGTATGTGAATATTTGCAAAAATAAGTATTAAAAAAACCAACCAACACCAACATCACAGGGTCTTATTGATGTCTGTGTAGCTGTAATCAAAGTACATACTACGTCTCCCCCAACCCCCGCAGTTATCATAAACTTTGTTATACTTCCATTTCCAGGGCCTGCAAAAACCCTTAGTCGGATGGATCTTCATAAGCTTTCCTAACTTAGAACAGAATATTCTATTATTCAGGTAATCTCCCAACTAGGAATTTCTGACTTAACTAGGAATGTCTGACTTATCCATAGTTCCTTAGGAAGTAACTCCTATAAACCCTTTTTATTAAAAATTCAAGGTACATGCAGTCCCTGCGTTATGAAAGGGATCATTTTCTAACAGTGCTTTGAAGTATCCCTCGGGGCTTCAAGCTGGTTCTGCCCAGTTCAGTTAATGGCTGAGAAAGTGTTACCAGAGCAGACTCAGATTTTTATAGGGCAGTCCACTTTTACACAGCAATCAAATCTCTTGCACTTGGATTCTGAGCGCCGACTGCAGTGCCACTGCCCTGCTCAAAAATGGTTGCTAATTATACCACTTTGAATGTGTGTCACTTTCCTACATTCCTGTCCAAAAGGCTCAGTCCACCTTTACCCATCCTCTCATTCCAGAGCTTCATTCTCGGTAATGTGCCAAATCTGCCAATCATACAATTTCCAGTCTGCCACGAACTATTTCTGTTTAAAGGGAGAGTAGAAATTTTCCATGAGTGGGACATTTGTAACCTGGGGACTGACTGTGCATACAAAGATGTGTAATTATAAATGGGTAATTTCTGACATGCACCAAAACATTACCATTACTATTACTGTATTATTACATTATAAATGCTTCAGTATATGGAATTTTTGTAAATAAAAACAGTTTAGTATACACAAGGACAAATGTTTCACTGATATTACATATAAACTGGACCTATTCTGTCTTACATATATTAGACTTGAAGACACACTTAAGAATGGAACTTGCTTCATAACCCAGGACTGCCTGTAAATGTCCTACAGAGTCTTTTAAAACTGTAAACTCAACAGAAGAGACAGTACATAAATTTTCTCAACATATGAAAATTGGCTTAATCTTAAATAGCAATTTTTTATTTTTTTTTTTAAATAGCAATTTTAAAGTAGAGAGACTCAACAGCCTGAAAAGATGAAAGTCATGTCTAAGAGTTGAGTAAATGAGAATTCAGTAAAAAGGTACAGGTTTTCTAAAAAGTATTTCAGCACAAAGTATAAAAAGCTAAAATATGCTCAATCTTCACAACTCTTCAATTCTACTTCAAGAACTTTAATCTAAGGAAATAAACTTTAGAAGTTTGCAAAGACTTATTTATAAGGCACAAGGAAGTTGACACTATACACCTGAAAATGAATTCAAACCTGCTTCTATATATAGACGTAATTGTCTCAGTGACCCCATATGACAGAGTAGAAGTGTCCTAGAGGATTTGCAGAGCTATAAATCTTTATTAGAGCAGGTTGTCACATTTTACTCCAAGGGTACAGTTGATGGGTTTGAACTGCTAACCATTCATCAGCAGATGCATGCACCACCAGGATGCCTTAAAAACCAGTAAGAAGTCTGTTTATGGTGCATTAGTTACAGAATCCAAGGCTCCTAAGATGTTCTGGATTCCTATGTCCCAACACATATTCAATATAAATAAATATACTCTAGTTCAAAGTCTCTCAATGAATACCAGAAGGAAAACTGAATTAGACAGACACTGACATCCTTATTTGAAGAGAGTAGATTATAGAATAGTCTCTCCCTTAAGCATACGATGTGTACAAAATTCACCTGGGGAAGTATGTACCACAACAGCACGCTTTTTGTGGGTAATCCTTATTTCCCATGTATTTTCAACAGTGAAAATTTCTGGCAACATGAAAATATACTTTTAAAAATTAAGACAACTCAACTAAGAAAAATATCTAAATATATTTTTTTTAAAAAAAGATTATTATCTAAATCAACTTTACATTGACAAAAATGGATGTTACTCTAAACTTACCTCCTTCTTCCTTTGAGTGATTTGAGTCTACTCTTTTAATGAGTAAATCTGGTGTATGCATGTAAGAAGCCCTACTTGGTGGTTCCACAAAGGAGCTCTTCTATACCCTTCTCCACAGGAGGGCAATAGTACATCTGCTACAGTGGTATACCTGCTAAACGCAAGAAGATTTGTGATCCTGCAAAACTTGTCCCACACAAGTATTGAGACTGACACAAGTTTTAAACAGCCACCATACTTGAGTGTATTAACAAATGTACTAAAATGGAATAAGTATGTTTTTTTATTAGTGTGTGTGTGTGTGTGTGTGTGTGTACCGTCAAATTGGATGTGACTGGTACAGGAGGAGATTGTCCCGCCTTTTCCTGGCAGAGCATCTGGTGGATTTGAACCGTGCGCCTCTGGGATTGCAGTGCAGCTTCTTGCCACTAGGCCACCAGAGCTCCCCATAAGTATGTTTTTGTAAATCTTCCTCCCTACATATTACACAGACATAAAGTTTTAACAAGGTCTCCAAATCTTACATTCCACCTGATAAAACTCACACTGAATTTTGCATTCTTTCACTTACAATGGATCACAGTTTAAATGATAAGCTCTACTATCCAAATACAGGGTTTCTCCCCCACTAATCGAAAGCAAGAGGTTCTTAGGGCGCATTTCATAGAACAAAAATAAGGACGCAATTACCACTGATACATATGGAAACCTGAAATGTTCCCAGACTCCCAAAATTAACCTACCAAATAATACATGAAACCTAAAGTAGCACTAACATACAGTGTTTAGACAGTTCAAAGCTACGGTGACTTGAGACGCTGAGTGTAGTTCCCGATGAAGGAGCTTGGTGATGCCACTCTTGCGCTGCCACTTTAAAGCTCGCTGCAAAACAAATGCTGAACTCTTTCTCATAAAAGTGATCCTCCTCTTCCGATTTCTCTCAGGGAAACAGGTACTAAAGCAGGTCTTTCAAAACAGTGAGGTGGCATAAAGTAAACTTTTGAAAACTGAGGCACGCCTATACTCACTCACATTCAAAGCATTTAACACTGATTTGTTAGTTTTAAAAACATGCTGCATTCTATGAAGTTACATTGAGCAAATAAAGTGTGATAGATGTAATCAAGAAAAAAGTCAACAATAAAGAACTCAGAATTAGTAGACAATAAACCTATTTCCCATTAAATTAAAAATGATGTGCCAATGTGTACTGGAGGGAAGGGGAAATTCCAATAGTCCCAAAGAGGCTAATTTAAGATTCAAAGCTGGGCTGTAACCACAACAGAACCTGTACTGTTTTCCTTAAAGTGCATGTAAAGAAACTTAACAGGAATTCTTACTTCAGTTTATTATGAAGTTACAAAAGCTCACTGTTTGCTGTTGAGTTGGAACTGACTCATCCCTAACCCTACAGCAGGCTGTCTAAAGCTGTAAATCACAGGGGAGAAGATTGCCCATGTTTTTCTCACAGAAACACGGGTAGATTCAAAGCAGCAAAGGGGCATGGCCTTTGGTTTCGCTCCACAACTCCCCATGAACGTTATCAAAATTTAACTGTAATGAAAGTTGTCATTTTCACATTTTGCAAAGTGATTTTACAGAGAAACGTTACTATATAGGATCAAAATTTTATTAAACATAGGCAACAGAAAAGGAGCAGAAGAAATTACCACTGAAATATTAACTGGTGTTCCAGCAATTACCAGAAGAGGCTTTCATTAATGAGGTGGCATTATAAATAAAACAACAAAAAGACTACTTCTGCATGAGGCAAGAAAAGGTAGAGCACCAAAGACACAAATTTAGAAAGTTACCAATAAGCCCGCTGCTGCTTGTTCGTTCTTAATGATCGTCAAAGCCTTTGCCATGCAAGTTTGATAATGATGACAGAGTCTGGATATGATATTGTTGGATCATAAGCAGCTTGCCTAGTGATAAATAAAAACCTGTACTTGAATCCTAAAGGCACACGGTTCAAATCCAACAGCTCCTGGCAGGAAGGCTAGGCAGTCTCCTCTCGTGTGAATTACTGTCTTTGAAAACCCATCCACTAAGATATTCGGCTCTAGGTTGGTTTCCACTCGATGGTACAAAACAACTACCGCGGTCGGTGGCCTAATGGTTAAGAGACTGCGCTGCAATCTCAAAGGCAGGCAGTTCAGATCCACCAGGTGCTCTGCGGGGTGGGTGGGAAAGATGGGCGATCGCCTCTCGTACGATTTACTGCCTCTGAATGCCCGCTGGAGGGTCAGCTATGAGTCACTTCTGACTCGAGGGCTCACAACCACTTTGTTGCAACTACTTACCACTTTAGGGGAGGTGACGTAATAACGTGGTTAGGCGGTTCGAATCTACCAGGGGTGAGCAGGTGAAAAAACAAAACAACAGGCCATCTCCTCCATTGAGACTTACAACCTCTGAAAACCCGCTGGGTCGTCAGCTCCAAGTCGGTTCTGACTCGACGGCACTAAGTTTGAGCCAAGTTTACCATTTTAGTGTTTTTTTGGGGGTTTTTTTTGCCAGTTTTCAGATATATTAACACGCAGGCAAAACAGCTGGAAATCTGTGCTGGCCTTTGTGGTTTGTTAAGGACTTTGGAAGTTTTTGTACAGCACGTGAACCCTGCGGCTCTGGGATCTTCCCCTAGGACTTAAGAACATGTGGGGCCCCGCGCGGTGGCCCGAGTGCCGCCCGGCTCGGGCCGAGCCAACGAGCTCGGAAGTGGAGCTTGGCCTCGCGTCGTCGCGGGTCTCGGCCCCTTCGCCCAAACGGCGGGGGACATGAAGGGAGCTACAGGCCATCGCGACCCCTCTTCCAGCACGAGCAGCGGCTGGGAAGGGAGTGCGGCGGGGCTCGAGGGAGACGGCCGGTAGACCGCAGTCCGATGGGGCGCTCCGGGCCAGGGCGGAGGCTGTAACTACCTGAGGATGTTGTGTGCCTCCATGCTCCGGTTCTGGTTACTCGAGCACACCACCGCCACCCGCAGCGGCGAAGACGGCATGACGGCGGTGGCACCGTCCGCAGCGAACGCGACTTCCCCCTCTCCGGGACTCCCACCCGGTGGCTGCGCTTCCGCGCGACCAAAATGGCGGCAGCGGCGGCCGGAAATCGGCAGCGCGGAAGCGGCGGTGATGGCGACGTAAGACGTCGGGACGCGCAGCGCGGACGTCTGCGCGCCAACCCTAAGCCCCCGGCCAGCGGGGTGGAAGGCGAGGACGGCCTGGACACCGTACACGGGGAGAGCGGACGTCCGGCGCCCGCCGCGTCGGCTCCGACTCCTGCGCAGCCGCGACTGGCACTCTGCAAAGCGGTGCGCGGCTGGGCGCCCCGGCGCGTGGCGCTTACGCCATGACGTCACAAAGCCCCGCCCTTGTCGCAGGGAGTGACGCACGAGACACAGCGTCCGCTCTCCTCGCTGTGCTTCCCGTAGGCGCTCGGTCGACGTGTTCGCTGGTCCCCGTGCTCGCTGGTGGTCTGATGACTCTCGTGGCCGCCTCTTTGGAGCTGTGGGGTTTCCCTGGACTTGCTCTCTTTTCAGCATCAGTGCTCCTGCATCCTCAGAATTTCTCCGCATCCTCTCTCCTAGCTCAGTCTCTCTGCCTCTTACCTCTCCTTGCCGCCAGCTCGTAGAAACATGAGCGTTGTCCTGTTGAAAACCATCCCAAGTTTAAAAAATGTAATTGAAGTCGTTAAAGTATTTGGAGAATTAGGACGTGTAAAGTGACAAAGAATCTTGACACTACGGTTAAGCGCTGTAGAAGATCGTTAGTGAGAACTTTCTACTTACTCCTTTGTAGAAAGATAATGAAGGTCTGCTTTCACAAAGACTTAGAGCCTAGTAGTGCTCTCCTGTGAGGGTCCCTATGAGTGTGATTTCCACTTGACTGTGTTACCACAAACCCTCGATTGTACCACCCGCCACCACAAGAACCGGTCTTAGAGACAGGTTGACGTGGATAAAGCAGAAGTTTTTAAATGCGAGTATATTTGGGGGTTGAGGGAGGAAGGCTGGGCGGGGAGAGAAGTGCAGCAATGAATGAATGGAAATCCAAAATCTCTGTAAATGTTAATTAAAATTATTAAAATAAAAATAATGAGAGTATATTAAGTACACCAGTGTTCATAGCAGCGTTATTCCCCATTGCAAGAACATGGAAACAACCCAAATGTCCAACCTAATGGATTGAGAAATTATGGTACATTCATGCGATGAAATACTATGCAGCACACAGGAGAAATGATTTTATAAATCATTAACTTGAGAGGGACTGGAGAGTGTTGTTGCTGTTGTACTTGTTATGTGCCGTGGAGTCACTTGCGACTCATAGCGACCCTGTGTAAAACAGCTCTAAATTCTGCTCTGTCCTGTGCCAATCTCATTGTCTCTGACACACTCATCCCAATTGCCCCAGTCACTGAATCAATCCACCTCCCAGAGGGCCTTCCCCTCCTGCGCCTGCCCTCCACCCTCCCAACCATGATGTCCTCTAAGGACCGGTCTCTCCTTACAACATGACCAAAGTATGTCAGACGAAGCCTCAGAATCCTTGCCTCCAAGGAGCAGCCCGACTTAACCCTCTCCAAGATGAATCTGTTTGTTTTCTTAGCAGTCCATAGTACCCTCAACACTCTTCTCTAACACCAAACTCAAAAGCATCAATTCTCCTATCCTCCCTAGTCATTGTCCAGCTCTCTGACACATAAAAAGTGATTGCAAAGATCATGGCCTGTACCAGACGCACCTTAGTCTCCAGAGACACACCATTGCTCTTCAATACTTTAGAGTGGTCCCTAACAGCAGACTTTCCCATCTCAATACGTCTTTTAATTTCCTGGCTACTGGTGCCAAGAGTGTTGACCGTGGAGTCAAGCATCTGAGTCTCTTCACCATCCATCCTGATGGTGCCAATTGGTCCAGTGGTGAGAATCTTTGTCTTCTTGACATTGAGGTTCAATCTATATTGGAGGCTGCAGTTCTTGACCCTCAGCAGCAAGCGCTTCAGGTCCTTCTCAGTTTCAGCAAGCAGGGTTATGTCATCTGCATAACGCAGATTGTTGATAAATCTTCTACCAATCCTGATGCCGCATTACTGTTAGGAAAAAAAGTTTAAAAAAAAAGTTTAGAGAGATTGAGAAAAAGAAGCTGCTCCCAAGGATGCCAAGTAACAGCAAGCAGAGAAGGTAAAAATGGCTCAAGGACAGTTTCTTTTTATACGGGGTTTTAGGAAGATCTAGGGAAGATGGTATTTTGCTCAGAATTTGGCAAGGGGGGTCCTGTTCATTAATTTGGGTATGGGCTTTGACCAGAGCCTTTTCAGGATCCTATGTCAGATCTGATTGCAGTAGACATTTTCAGGTTTCTTCAAGGAGTGATCAGGCCTGGGGGCCAGCTGTGACATTCTTCCTCCAATTATGCTAAGTGAACTAACTCAGTCCTATAAAGGCAAATACTGTGTGAGACCATTATTGTAGAAGAATGAGGATCCAAGAGGTGGCGTAGCAGAGGGGTAGGGATGGGTGGGGGTAGGGGGGTAATGGTCATTGTTGTTATGTGCTGTCAAGTCACATGCCTGCTATGTCCTGAGCCAGTCTCACTGATTCTGACACACCTAACCCTATTGCCCCAGTTACTCTTATCAGTCCATCTCATCTGGGGTCCTCCTTTCCTACCTCATCCCTCCACCTTTTCAAGCATGATGTCCTTCTCCAAGGTTCTGTCTCTCCTGGCCACATGCTCAAAGTATGTGAGATGGAGCTTCAAAATCCTAGCCTTCAAGGAGAACCACTTGGTTTCACCCTCTCCAATACAGACCTATTTGTTTTCTTAGAGTCCCATGGTATGTTCAAGACTCTTCACCAGTACCACAACTAAAAGGCATCGATTCTTCTGTCCTCTTTAGTCATTGTCTAGGTCTCAGTTTGATGGGTTGAGGGAGAGTTGGGTAAAGGAAATGGGAAAGATCTGGTGTGAAAAACCGTTAGATAGAAAAAAAAAGAGTGTGAAGGTGCGAGGGAGAGAAATAAAGAAAGGAATTGGTCCCAGGAAGTGATCAGGCTTGGGGGTGGTGGGGCAACTGCCATATTCTTCCTTCAAAAACAATGTGCATGAACTTTGTAAGTAAACCAATACATAATAAAAATTTTATTTTATTTTTAAAAAAGAGAGAGAGAGAGAGAAAGGGAGATCTGATGACCTAGTGCTAAAAATCTGTGCTGCAAGGAACATGGTTCAAATCCACCAGCTGCTCCGCAGGAGAAAGACAAGCATTCTCCTATGCAGTTAACTGTCTCTGAAAACCCACTGAAGGGTCAGCTATGGGTCAGTTCTGACTCGATTACACAACAACAACAACAACAACAACAACATATAAGAGACAGAGGGTATGAGAACCCCAAATCCATCTTGATGTCTTAGAGATTTCAAGGATTAATATAAGGGAGACAAAGGATAGTGGAGTTCGAGGAGTTTTTGTCTGAGAAGTTGTGGTCTAATCTTATCAGTATTCAAGAGAAAGTTGGTGCTAGAAATATGTTGTAACTTAGAGTAACTAACTCCCAGCCATAAATTTGAGGAACAGAAATTTTGCAAAAGGACCTTTTTTTCCCCCCTCTTCAAAAGAACTCTCTTTTATCTAATGGATACAGTAATAGACGTGAATGAAAAAAGGGGGCTCTGGTGGCCTAATAAGAAGCTACACTGTCAACTCAAACGCAGATAGTTCAGATCCACAAGCTGCTCTATGAGCGGAAAAATGGGCAGTCTCTTCCCATGGGGTTTGTTGTTATGTGCCATCCAGTCTGTCGTCTCTGACTTCTAGTGACCTTATGTACCATAGCTCTGAAGCCTGCCCTAGCCTTAGCCCGTCTCACTATCTGACACACTTACCTCCATTACCCCAGTTAGTGTGTCAATCCATCTCATCCAGAGTCTTCCTCTACTGTGCTGTCCCTCCACCCCTCCAAGCATGATGTCCTTCTCCAAGGACTGGTCCCTCCTGGCCACGTGCCCAGAGTATATGATATTGAGCTTCAAAATCCTTGTCTCCAAGGAGTGGCTGGCTTGGTTTCACCCTTTCCAAGACAGAACAGTCTGTGGTATGTTCAATACTTTTCTCCAGAAGCACAACTCAAAGGCATTGATTATAAAGAGTTAGTTTTATATTTCTTGTCAGTTGCAACACCAATGAGTTTGGGTTGATGGGAACCACAGTTGAACTTGTCAATATCTTTGTTATTATCCAGCCACATACTGTTTTCTGTATATAGGCATGAAGTGGACACTGAGTTGATGTTTTATTGGTGTACAGCAGAGGTGGGAGGGACAAGAGAGTAGTGATGATCAAACATGACAATGGAGCAGAGTAGCATGAGAAATGAACAAAGGGACGATGGCAGTGAAGAGACATTGTATGTACTGATTTGAGAGGGGTCAATACTGAAGAGGAAGACCCTGGAGGAGATGGATTAACACAGAGTGACTATAGCATGGGCTATGGTGTGGCAGAGATGGTGTGGCTGGCTTAGGTTAGGCAAGGTTCAGAGCTATTATTCATACGGTTGTTCTGAGTCAACTTGATGGCACATAACAACACCAACAGTAAATAGAAAAATTGTCATTAAATGAGGTGGTAAAGTAGGATGCTTGGTAACTGAGGATGTGTAAGTGACCATTTTATTTAATAAACCCAAACTATGCTTGCTATGCATCAGAGAGCTGGATAATGACTAAGGATGATAGAAGAAGAATTGATGTCTTTGAAAAAAAAAAAAAGAATTGATGTCTTTGATGTCTGTGTGGTGGTGGAGAAGAGTTTTGAACATACCATGAACTGCCAAGAAAACAAACAGATCTGTCTTGGAGAGAGTGAAACCAAGTTTCTCCTTGGATGCCAGGAGTTCTGAAGCTCCGTCTCACATAGTTTGGGCATGTGACCAGGAGGGACTGATCCTTAGAGAAGGACATCATCCTCAGAAGGGTGGAGGGGACAGCACAAGAGAGGAAGACCTCAAATTAGATGGATTGATACCATAACTGGGACACTGGGGGAAGGTGTGTGGGAGTCAGACTGACTCAGGACAGGGCAGACTTTAGAACTATTATACACAGTAGCTATGA